ATAAAAAGTCAGGCTGCTGCTACTGGAAAGGCTGTAATCAATGAAATCGGGAGAAAGCCCTTAAGAAATATCCTGCAAGAACAGAGCAAAATTGCTTTGAAAAATTTATCAGATAGAGCAATTGATAAAATAACCCGATTTCAAAACAGAGAAGGAAAAAGAAATAAAAAGCGAGACACCAGAAAAAACGACATAATTTAACATCCAAGCAACAGCGTAAACAAACCAAACCGCATCATAAACGAAAAAGAACTATAAGAAAATTAAATATTAACGACATTTTTTCTAAGACAAAATGAGTAACCAATTCGAATGCATGAAGAGTGAACTGGATTTGTTTGCACACCACATCCCACGCAAAGTTCCATTACGAGAACTGAAGAAGTTTCATATAACCCAATTGCTTCTTTACACGGAGCATCATCAATCGAATTTGTCTGTTTAGGAAATGGTGAAACATATCGAGACCTTTCAAGTGTTTATTTACGACTTGTTGTCCAACTTAGAAAAAGTGATAGCACCGGCATTGTAGGAAACGATGTCGGTGTAGTGAAAATATATCTTACACTGTAATTTAGAAGTTCCTCAGTTTATTTAAATAATATATTAGTATCGCAGAGTGATAATAGTTATCATTATAGATAATATTTGCAAACAGTTTTAAACTATGGAAGTAATGCCACAGAAAGTCCCAATGATATATCCCGAATTTCGGACGAATAACGGCAGGCGACTATGTTTATCCAGATACCAATCCAAAGCCTATAAGTGTATTTTAAAATAGTAATAAGGTGGAACTTTTCGGAAAAATCTACGGCGATATATTTATACAACCACAAATGATAGTAAATAATGTTGATTTCAAAATTAATTTTAATATTGAAAAGACTGCATTTTATTTAATGGCCAGTTTCTGAGTCAAATTTAAAGATACTGGAAGCTCAACTTTTCATGAATCATATAACAGTTAACCCAAGCATTTTATTGGCTCACCATTGAGTTTTACAGACCAAAAATGCTATACACCCTTTCAATAAGGTTGAAGTAAAATCTTCACAATATACCCAGGAAATAATACATTATCTATAGACAATGCAGTTATTGGACAGCTACCCAATTTTCTAGCCTTTTGTATGGTTAAAAACCGTTCATACTAAGGAAACCGTGGTTTAGATCCATTTCATTTTGAACATTTAAAAATTCAACGATTTAATTTATTGGTGAATGGAGTTCATGTTCCTTCTCAAGCTCTTGAGTTTGATTACTCGAATGGTGAAAATGTTCAGAGATAATATGCTATTCAGATCTAGTGGGATAAAACATTATGATCGTGGTCTGCAAATTACAAAGAAAATGTTTGACACAAACAGTTTTATATTGGCTTTTGACCTAACTGCCGATCATTCAAATTTGAGTGTTTGTCCGAATTAAATAACCCAAGGAACTATACGAATTTAAGGAAGATTCTCAGAACCACTTACTGAAGCAGTTACTTGTCTGGTGTACTGCGAATACGATTCCATGATTGATATTGTTAACCATAGAAACATACGATTACTCCTTTAACATAAATACATTAAAAATTAAATATTTGCTATCAAATCATGTAAAAACACAATCGATTTTTAAAGGAGTTTTCCCTTCGGACCAGTTACCTAAAACTATAAAAAAGTATCCGGCTCTTATTATTGCGAATACCGATCCATCACATAAACCTGAAACTCATTGGATTGGCTTCTATTTTTATAGCCCTAAGTCAGCCGAATTTTTCGATTCATATGGTCAATATTCACAGAAAAAGGAATTCATAACATTTTTAAGATTAAACGCCCATAAATATTTTTTTAATAAACAACAACTACAAGGATATTTTTCTAACACCTGTGGTCATTATTGTATGTTGTTCGGACTTTTTAAATGTAGAAATAAATCACTTAAATGCTTCCTGAAAAATTTCAAGAAAAACGACTTTACTTATAATGATAAACAAATACTTAAAATGTTTAAGAAACATTTCAAAAAGTAAAATAAATTTTTTTTTATTATAAGTTTAGTTTATTTAATGTCTCTGAGCGATACAATCTCTTGTTTAACTTATAATATTTAAGCAAAATATTAAGGACCTCGTCTTCTAATATCGGCAGCATATGACACTAACATGTGACTGGTCCAGATGTAGCATCTTCATCACTCCAAGGACAAAGTTTGTAGTGGAAAGCAATCTTTGAATGTATTAACTCCTTTTCCGCTAAGTCCTCGAAAGTGGCTTTTAAATATTCAAGCCTCCTGAGGTGTTGCTCGAATAACATGTCTTCAAACTGCATCAAGAAGACTTCAATTTGTTTAGCGTGCATTTTTGTAAGACTTGTAACTTGTTAAGGTTGAACTAAGACTGGTTTTGGAATAAGAAATTCAATCTTTTATAAGGGGAATTTTTTACTTACTTAATTTATTTACTGATAAATTCAATTTGAGCACAGGTATATCTATAAGGATCCTTTCCTTTATATACCATATGAGAAATTCCGTTCTCAGTCAATTTCTTAAATGGTGTCTTAGTCGAAAATTTGTTTACATAACTTTTTGGTAGAAATATCCAAATATCCTAATTTTCCTTATTGGCTAAATAAAGGCATATTTTAGTTCCATAAGGTGTTTCCCTTAATTTACATGACAGGTTTTGATTTATTTAGGGTCTCTTAGAAATCCTATGAGGAATAAGTAGATTAGGAAGGATTATAAACATAAAGAAGTGTTTATATACTATTTTTTATTAGTTAGAGATTCGAGTCGTGGTGTTCTAGTCACTAGTCGTTGAATACTAATTTGTTACATGAATTACATGGTCTTTTATACATGAAAGAATATACCTATTTCACTCTATCATGTACACATTTATATATATATTTATATTTATATATATATATGTATATATTATATATATATGTATATATTATATATATATGTATATATTATATATATATATGTATATATTATATATACAGGTGTACCACAACACATTTCATTTGAAACCCTTTAAAATATATGTATTTTTTATAAAAAACAGTTTCATATCAAAATGGACAAGTTTCATTGTGAGTTATGCTCAGAATCAAAATCTTTCTCTACGCGCAACAGTCTAAAAGTTTATACCTTAAAAGTACACAACTTTAGCTATACAAAATCAAAGTCCTTTTATTACTACTGTTATACTGGCTGCGAGACGATTTTAATATGCACATGATATTGATGCACGATGCTGAATTAAAAAGTATAAATAAAGAGAAAATCTAATAATGAACACGAACTTTAAGTATTGAATTTATATAACATGTTTTTATTTCATAATGTTTTTAGACGAATAAACAAATATTAGGAATCTAATCTTAAGAAAACATCCATTAAAACACTATAGTGTACGTCATCCATAAGTTGTTGATATTTTGCCTGTGGCTCTGATTATCTCTTTTATACCCTAGGGCCGCAGAAACATGAGCCGGGTTAAGTTATTTAAATTTTAATTATTCATTTTAATACTTCTTTTCGTTTCACACATTATGACAAAAATCCTTAAATAATTTCGACATTTTTGTTTTGCGCAGAAATGTAACCAATAGTAATATAATTAAATAAAAATAGTAATATGAACAGTATAAAGGTAAAATATAAAATATGGAGTTTAAAGTAGATGGTAAGAAGTAGAATGTAAATAAAAAATTAAAGTAAGGCGTATTGCACTACTAGTTAAGATAATTATTAAATACCAAGGGTAAGTTGTTTCATCTATGTTTTCAATGTTATTTTGGTGGCTGCTAAGAAAGTCGAGATATACTTCTTCTTATTGCTCAAAATGCGTAGAGCGGTAAAATTTCAGGTCGATAATTTTTTGAAATAACTAAATTTTACTGCATATATTTTAAAAGATTTAGTTAATTTTATAAATTCGATTAATAATATTAAGTAATACAACAAAAAAATAAAATTGTTTTGTTTTCATTTTTCCTATTGTTTTCAGTGTATTAGCTTTAAGCACGGAGAAAGTTTACTTCATTCTTTCATTCTTTGGTTATTTATCTTTTGTTTTGTTTTCTTTTGGCGACATTTTATTTTCACTTACAAAAGCTTAATTGTTTTAATAATTGTTGTTGTAAAACAAATATAGGTATCGTACGTATCTCGTGAAAATTAGATAATATTAGTAAAACCAAACACACGTGGTACTCTCCTCGGCGAGTGCTCCAGGCGTGCTGGAATGAAGTTTTTTTTGGGCTTGTCCCATATTTTAAGAAATTTTTTTTTTTTTTACACTCCGTGCGGGACTAAATAACTGTTATATTTTTTTGTTTTATTTGATACATTTTTTGTAGGTTTTAGTTATACCATAGGGAGCTTTCAAAACTTTACGCATGTTTATCTGATTTAAAAAGTGCGATCCAAAATAACTGAAAAAATTTTCCTTTTTTTATTAAATTATTTTTATCTTAAAAATATAATTTTTTTGTTCCTTTTTTTATCCATTTTAAATTTTTCACATTTAGACTTGTTTATTTTTTGATTAGCGCGAATTTCAGGTAATTTTTTGCAGTGTCGTTACGACTAAAGTTCACATTCTTTTTTTTTCTTGGTCTAGATATTTGCATAATTATTTCATTAAGTTCACTTTATTGCTTTTTCCCAGTGCACATGTTGATTATTTTTCTGATTTTTTGCTGATTTTACTTCGGTGTTTTCTTTATCTCATTTTGGGGTTGGGGCGAATTTTCTGGCACAAAAGCTTTCCCTGCGGAGTAGCAAAAAGACAGTGCTCCGCGGGAAAATCGCTAATCCGGGGTTGGCCATCCCGGATAAGGCGCCAAAATAATATCCATTCAAATATAAACAATATATGTATGAATATCAAAAAAAAATTTCTTCGGCTTCGGTCGCCAGTACAGAATCCCCCCGCTAAAATCAGACTAGGGTATGACTGGAAGAATACCGAAGGCTGTTACCGACTGAAGCTACTGCCGAATATCCTTGGCATGGTAAATACCGACAACCTTCCCTTGAAGATCCTCCAGTTCATGGTAAGAATTACCGATTTTTCTACGAATTCGGGATTTCACGAACACCGGACCGAATTTGGCGTTATAACCATTTTGGAAGCAACTCTGTTTAAAGTTACGTCGATAAGCGTCTTGACCTTCAGCATAAGCGACGTTACGGGAACGAAGATCATAACGTTTCTTGTTTTCTTCGTGCTTTTTTAACATGTGTTCGCATGCTTGCTTGCGCGATATCTCGAAGGAATCCTGCCTGTTGAACTTTATTGAGCGATCATCTAACAGATTTAAGCGACGCAGTAGCGAATATGTCGATCCTGAGGTCACCCTGTGCTGGCCGAATGCCATATAGTATGGGCTGGTTCCAATGTTAGAGTGTACTGAAGATCTCAGTGCACAACGTATCCTGTTTAAAGCTTCGTCCCAATCTTTCTGGTCAGGTCGTAGATACGCTCTAATGGCTGATATGACTGAGCGATTTACGCAATCTGAGGCATTAACCTGCGGCGAATGCACAGCGAAATATGATTAATGCTATATCCTTGCATTAATCCTTGAAAAACTTTGGAACGAAATTGAGACCCGTTGTCCGACACCACGGTTTCTGGAACTCCAAAATTCATAAACAACTCGTTATTCAGAAACTTGACAACGCTAGAATCAATCTTTTTTACAGGTTTTAAAAATACGTATTTTGAAAAGTGATCGAGAACGATAAATATACTGACGTTTCCAATTCGTGGATCGTCGTGCATTTGGTCTCCGGTTAGGTGCTCTGCTTTTCGATACAGGTAACCACCTTCCACTTTGAAATATGGAAAATTGCGTTCGTTTTCCTCTACACCCTTGATCAATTCTATGTACTCAGGAGATTTGAATGCTTCTGAGTTCAGGTCGATGATAAGGCCTTCCGCCAAATCTATGGCGGCAACTGTCTCTTCATTCACTCAAGACAACACGTCAGGAACTACATTTAGCGAACCCTTGCGATGCTCTAATGACCACCGAGCTAAACGAGAACTTAAGTCGTGATTCGACACTAACCATTTTAACCATTTTATTATTTTAAATTTCATGCCCTCTACATAAGCCCTAAAATTCTTTACAGCCAAGATTGTCTCTAAACACTCTTGTTCAGTGACAGTGTAATTTCGCTGAGCCTTGTTCAGCTTCTTTGAAACAAAAGCGATCGGTCGATCGTCTCTTTCGTCTGAAACCTGCACCAATACGGCTCCTACGCCTCGTTTGCTAGCATCGCCATGTATAGCAAATGGCTTCGTAAAATCCGGACTACAGAGAACAGAAGATTCACTGAGACACTGCTTTAGCTTTTCAAACGCTTTTATTGTTTCTTCGGTCAAGCTAAACTTCCTTTTCGTAGTCATTAAGTCCGTCAAAGGAGCAGACAGTGAGGCAAAAGTTGGTACGAATTTCCGATACCATCAAAAAAATACCATAAAACTTTTTAAATTCTTTAAGGTTCTCGGCAAAGGAATGTTGGTAATAGCCTCCACCTTTTCTGGCTCGGTTCGAATTCCGACGTCACCTATTATGTGACCCATTTAGCGAACACGCCGCATACGGAAATGACTTCTGAGCACTTCGAGATGACCTTCAAAACTATCTGAAACTATTAGAAAAAATCAATGCCAAGATATAGATCCTGCTCGAGCGAAGGTACCAAATATATCTTCAAAGGCTTCTTTACGTTGCCGTATTCGATGTCAATGTTTAAAAGACCTACTATCTTTTGCTCACTTCCGTCTGCAGTTGCAGCGTTGCCGTTTATGGCTCGATATTCTTTAGTCTCTATCACCTCATTGGCTAAGACTCCTCCTATGCAACTAATTGAAGCTCCCGAATCCTATAAACCGTATACAACACAGCCGAGTAAACTAACCGGTAAAAATGGTCGGGGATCGCGAGGTACTGCTGGTATTGAACTAATATGATTCAGGCTGTCTTTGCATTTCTTCACGTTTTGCCAAACCGTGTCCGGGAAAGAGAGAGGCTTACTTTTACAAGTGTTTTCTATTGTTCTGTCATTGTTGACTGATTTCGACAGGCATATGAAGTTTTCTGTCTGAATTGAGACTTCGATATGCCGGGTTTGCAGTTTTTTGAACATTTGCTACAACTTGGCTTATAAGTGTTAGCAGCACCGCAACCATTACCAAAAACTCGTCTCTCAGAGAGACACTCCTGATATCTATGTCCTTCGCTTTGGCAGTTCCAGCACACTAATGAAAATGCCTCGATATCTGCCTGGCTTTCAGGTTTTGTTTCTAGTGGGTCTTCCATCTCATCTCTAAGCTCCGAGACTTCACGCTTAAAAGGAGAGGCTCTCGTATAACCACTATATCGTTTGACATCGGCGAGAAATGCTTCACGCCGCCTACAAATTTCCCTCAAATCTGACACAGTATTTATTTCTATGTTCAGGAGTTCGTGTCGAATTTCAGGACGAACATTATTTCCAGGGATGTACTAATTGATCGATTAGTCCTGATATGGTGTCACAGTAACTATCAAAGGACTCGTTTGGCTTCTGTATTGTCATTCTGATCAATTCCTCAATGTCCCTATCATCTCTACTCTGCCTAAATTGGAGACGCAAGGCTGTACAAAAATCTTCCCAGCGGATTTCTCCGTTCGCTTTATGGTACCGCCAATAAATGTTGTTGGCTTTACCTTCAAAAAGGACACTAGCGTTCCTACACAAAACTGTGAAATTTCCGTCTAACGTTTGTTTTGTTAGAGCTTCGACTCTATATAAAAAAATGTCGACAGACACACCATCCCCGGAATATTTAACTTTCCAGCTGTTGAGAATGTGGACTATTTTATTCGGTCTGGTTAGCAAACCTGAAGCAACTCTCTTTGGGAAGCAGTAGAATGTGGAATCTCGCTTCTATCGAAATCTCTCGTACAGGCTGTCACTCGATTCATGTTTTCGAAAATCGGATTCTGGATTAGTTCAGACATCTTTTCTGAAAGAGTTGCTAACATCCTTCGCATCCGTTCGCTAATAATGTTACCGCATTTGCCGTGATAATGCTCGAATTTGTACTACAGTTGCTAGAACTACGTCCTGAAGTGGATGGCCCCTCATGTAATGGATTAGTAACCGGATGAGCATCTTTGGATCTACTGCGAGTTTCTTTGGCTACTCTTTCGACGGGCTTAGAGGCTGCCGCCCTACATGCCGAATCGCACACAGGACATTTGTCGCTGTTCTTCAAATGAGCTTCTATGCATTCTTTATGAAACTCAGGCTGACATGTTGTTGTACATAAGTCTGCTGAATTAATGTCGACTTGACATATCGGACAACAACGGTTTGAGGCGCTTTCGACTCTCCTTTTCGGCGATCGATCTAGCCCGATAATTTTTAAATCAAATTATAACACAAATGCACAAAAATAAAAATCAAATAAAGTTATTGATAAAATGAACAAAATGCAAAAATATAAATAATGTTATTGATAATCCGAACCCTTACCTTGATGTTCTCGTCCGAAGGATATGTAATTAAATTTAGTTTTTTCTAAAATAAGCATTTCTGAAAGATACTTCTTTCTTTCTTAATAGGCTTTTTTGGACGGTGTACCCTTACACTCGTATTCCAGAAAAAATTATTATTTCTTCCAAGAGAGTTTAGAAGCTAGGATGTTAGGATACGGCACCTGTCTAGTTGTACCAGTATTTTCCTAATTTCCTAAAAGAGTTTTGGCAGTGATTTGATATTTCAATCAGGGAGAGACATCTACCTTAGTTTTGATGCTATGTCTGTTTTCCTCCAACTGAAAACACCATCACTTCTGCCGCAGAAAGTAAAATTTTCGCGTTACATTTTAACTCCGGTAAGCTCCGAATACTGATATCAATCCAGCTTAATTCCAGGAATTCAAATATAATTGAAAATTTTAGAAACGTGAAATTTAAAGTAGTGAAATATATATATGGCAGGGTCGCCATAAAATATATAAAAAATTTGTTGTAGTTGGTTTATTCTTTATTTAAGGGAGCAGCAGTGGTGCCGTTCCCAGGCTTGAATTAATTGTGACTTTACAATATTCTTTTAAGTCTAATTAAGGCTTAGTCTCTTTGCTGCGCTGCTCGCAGGCGGCGGCATAGAGACGGCTGTCTATATACTTATGTATATAAACATATGCCCTCTTATGTGCGGAGCGCGAGGGGTATGCACATGCGGTCCGTTCATGTAATTATGCCGACGCTAGCACTTTCTGTGAGTGGCCTAAGCCGTAGCGATCGGGTCATATTTCGGCCACTTGGGGTTTATGACCGGGACCATGAATTATGTAAAAACTCGGTACAGTGGGTATTCAATATTAGTGCATACTACTACTCCCTCCTTTTGAAAAATAACGTAATAATATGAAGTTATTTTAATAATAATTTTTAGTTAGTAAAAATTTGTATGTGTAACTATGCATGTCCATACTAAGCACAATTTATGAAATAAAAAATTTTTAATCTATCTTTATGAACTGATTGTTTCTTACTCTTATTATATGTTATTACTATGTTATCTCTATCTGTGTATTTAGGATCTAACTTATGTATGTATATCTCTTACTTTCTGATCATATAGTAGTTTATTTATATTCTTATTTGCTTCTAACATAACTCTAGCTCTTTTATAAGCTACCTCTAATCTATATTTACTCTCCTTAGCATAGTCATCTATATTATATATTGTTTCTACGCTATCTATGCTATTAAAGTGTTTCGGTAAATTACTTGTTTTACCAAATACTAGCTCATATGGACAATAAGTATGTGCCATAGAGGGGGTCGTGTTGAAACAAAAGGCAAAATATTGAAGCCATACGTCCCAATCAGTTTTATCAGCCGATATGTAAGATCGTATGTACTCATTAAAATGTATGACTTCTTTCTATTGTTCCAACTGTCTGGTGGTGGTGTGATGTAGATGTTAGTGTTTTCAAATATTTGCATAAGTCATTTATAATTGAATTTTTGTATTCTGTTCCCATGTCCGTAATGATTGTCTTTATTGGACCGTACTTCAGAATAAATGATTCTGCTTTAGCGACGGTATTTGCGTTTTTATTTGCAACTGGTATGGCAACTAGATATTTTGTTAAATCACATATTAACGTGACTACATATTCATTGCCATTTTCTGATTTTGGTAGTGGAACAACAGTGTCCACTATTACTCTGTCGAAAGCGTTTATTGGTGTATCGGTTATTGTTAAAGGAGTCTTTGTATGCGATGTAATTTTTGACTTCTGACATTTATGACATTTTCTTACGTGCTCAGTTATATCTTTAGACATACCTTTCCAGTAATAGTGTCT